TTTTAAAATTTGGACAAGCGCCTCATATTGTTATGATATATTCAAATTCTTTCCAATCTGTGACTGTGTTTATTTTGCGCTTTGTTTTGTTTCATAGTTATTTATTTAGCGACCATATTGTTAGCAATTGTGATTGATGATTCGCCGTTTATTGTGCTTTTCGCTTGACTGCATTTGATGTATTCAAGTGTAACACTATTATTCTGTCTGTGCTGTGTATACCTATTTGAAACCACGGACCTGAAAAAAAGACGGACGTAACCTCTTCTACAATTATAATATTGAGTGAAGCATGCCAATGGCCGCCGTTAACTGCGTGTCAGATTCAAGTAACATTTTAATTATTAATGTGATATTAATGAACACTTTTTAAGTGTCAGAAATCACAGCTATTTTCTTTTCATTATATAATATAGCAATTTGTGAATTTATATGTCCTTTTACTGTTATTATACGTACTATTATTATACGTCTATCCGTGCGGTGACGGAGAAAGAATACAACTCACCGCCCCTTCTCTTCCCGTGGGTGTCGTAAGAGGCGACTAAGGGATATCGGAGTTTCCATGCGCTCTGCTGGTGGTAGGGTGCCTAACACCCGCCTGGTTTGCTACCACCGTGCGCATGGTGAAAAACCCGTGAAGTGCTTCTCGCGCGTTTCGGGGTCAGCCAGCGTACAACCAGGGCTCGAGTGTAGGTTGTCGCGACGGATTTGGTCCAGGGCGAGGCATCCGTCGAACCGATGCCGGGAGGACTGCATCGACCCGCCGGCCAGGGAGACCCGTAGAAACGGTTGTCCCGCTGGCCGCCCGTGGCACAGTACAGGGGCCCGAGCGTTCCTAACCAGTTCGCGAGGCTGCCCCATCATGTCACGCATAATCTCGGGGTGGACCGTCGTGCCGGTTGGTGACCGGGGCGTGGGGTCCCGGCGGCCACTTCCGGGGGGGTGCGGGGGCCCTTCCGTCCGGCGGGTCAGCGTATATCCTCTGCAGGCAATTATTCGGGGAAACATGCCTCCCTAATTTGCCCGGTCTTGTCTCGACAACGTCCACTCGTTTCACGTCTCTTTATCACTTCCATAATGGCAGCTCTCAAAACAAAGTTTGGACGTACAGCGGTGCACACCCCCACGCCTTCAACGCTGTTTGAGGTCGAGTTCTGCAACATACGCGGACTCCACTCTAACCTCAATGCTGTCCACCACCATCTTGAGACAGCACGGCCAGCATTGTTGTTCCTGACGGAGACACAAATACTTCCGCCTGCTGACACAGGCTACCTTAATTATCCCGACTACGTGCTTGAAGAGTCCTTCAAAGCGAAAGCCGGTGTATGCCTGTATGTTCGGGCGGATGTTTGTTGTCGCCGTCTCCGCTGCTTGGAAGATCCCTCCTTCTCCATGTTGGGGGTACACGTCGATTCTGGTCCCCAGGCCAGAGTCTACGTGTGCCTCTACAGATCCCACACTGGCGATGTTGAGACAACTCGACTTTTCGAACATCTTAGTCGAGCAGCAGATGACGCGCAGGAGCAATTTCCCAATGCAGAATTGGTGTTTTTGGGGGACTTTAATGCTCACCACAATTTGTGGTTAAGTTCCTCGAAAACTGACCATGCAGGGATCTCTGCTCACGCGTTCGCTCTCACGCAGGACTTGAAACAACTGGTTGATCAGCCCACCAGGATTCCAGATATTTCAAGTCAAGCGCCTTCATTACTGGACCTTCTGCTCACGACCCATCCACAGGGCTATCAGGTTGTGGTAGGAGCCCCCCTGGGCTCTTCAGATCACTGCCTGATATCTGCCAAAGCGCCACAGGCCAAGCCTCCACGTCCAACGGTGGTAAAACGCCGGATTTGGCATTATGGGTCGGCAGATTGGGACGGTATGCGTGACTACTTTGCGTCCGTCCCTTGGAAGCAGCGCTGCTTCAGTGACAAGGACCTATCAGCCAGCGCCGTTGCTATTACTGAGGAGATTGTAATGGGTATGGAATACTATATTCCTCATTCCAATCTCATCAGTAAGGGCACACGTAACCTCTGGTTCAATCACGACTGTGCTGAAGCTGCCTCGCGTAAGCAAGCGGCATATCGTGCTTGGATCAGAGGCCGCGCTATTAAGGATCCCGGGGTCGATTCACTAAAAGCAGCCTACAATATTGCTTCCAAGGCCTGTAAGAAGGCTTACATCAGAGCGGATGCCCAGCGCGTAGCACGTGTTGGTCACGAACTTATAACGCATCCTACGGGCTCCCGTAGCTATTGGCGTTTGGCGCAAAAGAACTTCTGCCAGCCCTCGCTGCCACCTCTGAGATGCCCAGACGGAACACTAGCTCATAAGCCGCAGGAGAAAGCCGATTTACTGGCAAAACTCTTTGCGGCTAACTCCCGAATCGATGATTGCAATGCACCGCCACCATCATTACCTCATTGTGGCACAACGATGCCGGATATCAAAATCAGGCAGCGTGAGGTTCGTGCCGAATTGCAATCACTCGACGTCCGGAAAGCTAGTGGACCCGACGGCATCCCAGCAGTAGTACTGAAAAAATGTGCAGCGGAGTTGTCTCCCGTGCTCACGCGTTTGTACCAGTGCTCGTATTCTTTGGGGCGTGTGCCGGAAGCTTGGAGAGATGCTAACGTGCAACCGGTACCCAAAAAAGGGGATCGCTCAGACCCGGCTAACTACCGGCCAATAGCAGTCACCTCAGTATTATGTAAAGTCCTAGAAAAGGTCCTTAACAACCATCTGACCCGCTACCTAGAGGATCACTCCCTGATCAATGATCGTCAATATGGTTTTAGACCGAAACGATCGACGGGTGATCTTCTAGCGTACTTGACTCATATCTGGGGTGAGGCTATCGACAAGCGAGGCGAGTCGTTGGCTATTAGCCTTGACATTGCCAAGGCATTCGACAGGGTCTGGCACAAAAGTCTTCTCTCCAAGCTTCCGGCATACGGTTTGCCGGCCCAGTTCTGTTCTTGTGTAGCTGACTTCCTGCATGAGCGTAGAATTCGTGTCCTTACGGATGGTAGCAGTTCGCGGTTCATGTCAGTGAATGCCGGCGTTCCCCAGGGCTCCGTCCTATCCCCCACTCTCTTTCTGCTGCATATCAATGACTTAATTCCTCTTGGGAATATTCATTGCTATGCAGACGATAGTACAGTGCATGCGGGGTATCTCGGACAAGCAGCGGCTGGGCAGGCGGTAACCAAGGAGAAACGGGAGAATCTTGTCATTGAGCTCAATCAAGCTTTGGACCACATTTCTGTATGGGGTACCAAGAACTTGGTTGAGTTCAATGCTAAGAAAACCCAGGTCTGTGCTTTCACGGCAAAAACGTCGCCATTCCTTTTATGTCCTTCTCTTCAGGGCACAACACTGGAGCTAGAGAGCAGTATCACCATGCTCGGTATGGAGATTCGCTGTGACTTAAATCCAAAGAATTACATCGAAAGTGTGATAAAAACAGCCTCACGCAAACTCGGAGTCCTGAAGAAGGTGCGGCGTTTTTTCACGCCCGAGCAACTGTGCTTGTTGTATAAAACGCAGGTGCGGTCTTGCGTGGAATATTGCTCGCACCTCTGGGATGGCTCCGCTAAGTACTTGCTCGATGCTTTGGATAGGTTACAGCGGCGCGCAATCCGCATCATAGGCGATGAGGAGGTGACTAAACACCTCGAGCCTCTTCAATTACGCCGTGACGTGGCGTCACTAAGCGCGTTCTATCGCCTGTACCACAGCGAGTGTTCTGAGGAGTTACTCTCTCTTATTCCACCTTCCCCTTTCCTTCAGAGGACCACGCGCGCTGGCTTACGTTGTCACCGTCTAACTGTGGCTACAATTCCAACGCGTACAAAGAAATTTGGTGACTCATTTCTTTGTCGTACTATCCGTAAATGGAATGCTCTGCCCGCTCACGTGTTCCCACCCTCTTACAATCTGGGATCCTTTAAAAGAGGCGTGAAGAAGCAACATGCAGGCCGGCAGGGTGAGGATGGCTGGTGTGGCAGTTAGAACTGCTGTATCAGCTATCTTCGCGTCTGGACTTCACCTTCACTTAACATCAGGTGGGGTGGAGTCATTTGTCGGATGTATCTATAAAAAAAAAAAAACTATAATAAAATTGGATTGTTTTTCTTTCAATTTTTAACCCGGGGGGGGGGGGGGGGGGGTTGCTCATCGGGCCACAGAGGATCCGATAAGGCCCTATGAAATGTACTCGATACTTTGAAGTATCGATACTTTTGTTTCGATACTTTTACGAGTACGATACTTTTTTACCGATACTACTCATGAGTACAGTATCGATACTTTCTATTCGATATCGTGTCCCTACGCCGAACTCGAGTGGCGTAGGTATGATTCGCTTTCCGACCGTTTGTATGAAGATAGAATACTGTATATATTATTACCGTGGTTGTGTTGTATACTTTGTTTTTGACTTGTTCAATGTTTGGCATAAAAAGGACTAGAAACCAGAGCCGTAAAACATATTAATAATAAAAAAAAAATGAGGTTTTTGGCGAGATTTCATCGAGTGTGGTTGCCGTCTTATTTTAATTATTCTTAAATTCGTTCATAGTGGATAATAAAATTGGTGTGATTTTGTGTTACAACTGTCTGCGTAACTGAAGAATTAGTAGAATCGTCAAAATATACGCTATTCCGGTCAAGTGGACCTGAGAATTTTATAGTAGTATTGACTACCTCACAGAAGCTTATCAAAAAAGGCCAGCTCGATACATTTCGTGCCAAACACTTCAAGAAACATTAGAATGCGTCACACCGACATTTTAATATAAAAAGAAAAACAGAATAATTTAACTTAAGACTAGGCTGTATGGGCATTATTTCCCCTTGCCTTCCCTAAAAAGGGAGAACGTAACCAAAAAAAAAATTTGAACGTGATCATACGTAGTATCTCTAACTAGTCTGTGGTGATCGTGATGTTTGTGATGTGAGTGAGAACGTGAAATAAAAATATAAATAATTGTTTTATTCCAATAGTTGAAAATATTCAATAATGTCTCGTTTACAAGCATGCAGAGTATGCTTGGCACGTCATAGCCGTATGTATTCAATATTGAATGGGCCACTTCAACAGATTTATGAATATATCACTGAAATTCCGGTAAGATCTTTCATTTCTGGCATATTAGCGGTCTCAATAATTCAAAATTTGAAAGAAATAATTCAATCAATCAATACTTTATTGCGTTCTACAATGTTTTCTTAGATCTTAGTAGGTACATTGGTTTGATCGTTGTAGACCCTGAACAGGGCACAGCAAATAGAGAAGAGGACGCATTCACTAATTGTAATTTAGTTAGTACGTATACAATTTACCAGCCAAATACGATAATTTTTTACCCAATTATTGTTCTTCATTGTCATTAGAAACGAGCATTTAGTCATTAAATTTAACGATTCGGTAATTTTATGCCCTAAAATATTTTTTTTACAAAACTATTATTTTATGTCTATCTATATCTGAAAAGATCAGAAAGCTAAATATGCTCTACCTCATTTAGGAGCTTGGGTGTTCAAATGCAGACAGAGGTTTATAATTTTCATTAATTAAGAATCCATTATCTGTGCATATAAAACCTAAACGTGCATTTAAAATCAGTTAGGTGGATTATGACTTATGTTCATTGATTATAAGAATTTATTGTTATTACACAATTACTTTAGTCCTTCTAAAAATAGTAAAAATATTGTCTACTATATAATGTATTTTAATTGTATGTGATTTTAGCTTGTAATGGGTGACATATGGCCAACATGCATATGCTACATTTGCTACCATATGATGAGAAAATTCAAAAAGTTTATAGATAAATCACTAAAGGCGAACGAGCTCCTGTTGCAACTCATCAGTTCCGAGTCTGAGGTACTTTTTTTTTAAAAACCTACAAACATTTCATTACTAAGTTTATGTTTTATGAAGCTTTTTGTGACTAAAGGACATTGTTCAGCGTCCATACATAGTTAGCCTAAGAACCAACAATCATGAAATATTATTTTCTAGGTTCAAAATCGTAAGTAAATGACTGTAAAAACAAAGATTATTGACGGACACTTCTGAGAGCTTAAATTATTAGGAAAACTAAAATTTTTTTGAGGTTATGTTTAATATTCAATGAAACATAGGTCAACCTATGAATTTAGTACGAACTCACTATGAAGTGAATTAATATTACAACTAATTCATATTATATTGTATATCTGATGTGTATGTGCGCTTGCGCTGCGCCGCACGCAAATGAGTCAGTAATAAACCAACTACCGTAAGAGGAGCGCGTTTCATTTGCAACCATACAGATTACTGGCGACGAGGATTTTACCCTACGAACGACGTGTGTAAATTTTGATAAAATGTCTTCTTACATCGGGAATTTACAAGTGTTCGACTATAAAACAAACGAATGGGCAATTTTCAAAGGACGTTTGGTGCAGTTTCTTAAAGTGAATAAGGTAACGGACGCAGACAAAGGAGCCATATTGATCACGCACTTGTCAGATGAGTCCTACCGCCTTATTAGAAATCTAGCATTTCCGAAGGAAATTGACGTGCTGAGTTACGAAGAGCTAGTTGGATTACTCGACAAACACTTTAAAGCTAAGGAGTCTTCATACGCAGACAGGGCGAAGTTCCACGGGGCGACAAAAAGTGCAGGCGAGTCATTAAAGGAGTGGGTCGCGCGACTGAGGGGCCTAGCAAGCTTCTGTGATTTCGGAACCGCCTTAGAAACGAACATCACGGATCGTTTCGTCTTAGGTCTTGGTTCAGGTCCCGAACGTGACAAGCTTTTTGAACAAAAGCCAGGATCAATGACGATCGACAAGGCTTTGGAGATTGCTGAACAGGCGGAGAGTGCTCGAGCGGCGAAAACGTTAACCAGTGTTGTAATTAAAGAGGAGCCAATCTATCGTGCGTCTTTTGAAGGCGGTCGGAGCCGACGTGAAGGTACCGGTGGCGATGGTGGCGCTAGAAGCAGCGCTGGAGGTGGCTCGGGCAGCGCGCAGGTGGCGCGGTGCAGCAAACCATGTTCAGTGTGCGGTATGAAAAATCACGACGAAAATAAGTGCCGGTATAAATACTACAAGTGTAGTAAGTGCGGTATTAAAGGGCATCTAAAAAAGGTTTGTGGCGAAAAAAGTGCATTTTCACGAGTGAATAATATATGCAATGAAGGTGACGAAGTTGATAGCAGCAGCAGTAGAGGATGTCACGAGTGTAAAAATTTCAATATAAGGTACGTGGGCGAAAAACCTATCAAAATAGACTTATATATCGGTCGGGAAAATGTAACTATGGAACTCGATACGGGGTCTGCGAATAGTGTTATTTCCGAAAATCAATATATTAATTCATTTTATATCTATAAGCTGTTTAAAAGTAATATTAAAATGTGCCTTTATAATGGACATAGAATCTCTCCGTTAGGATATTTTGTTGCAAATGCTACCTATAATAATCAAACGAACCGAGTAAAAATATTTGTTGTTAAAAACGGAGGTCCACCACTCCTGGGGCGAGATTTTATGGCAGCATTTAACATGATCATCACTACTTCAGCCTTGAATAATATTGTGTCAAATGAACATAATAATTATAAAAATGAACTCGATAAGTTGCTGGAGCAATATTCACATTTGTGGCGCGATGAATTAGGCACTTTTAATAAATTTAAAGTTAAATTACAACTTAAAGAAAATTCTGCGCCTAAATTTTTTAAACCGCGACCTATACCTTTTGCGCTTAGAGATAGGGTCGAAAAAGAACTAGAAAGATTAGTAAAACTCGGCGTTTTAGTACCAGTTAATCATTCAAAATATGCGACACCTATTGTACCTGTGCTTAAGGTAAATGGTACGGTCAGAATCGCTGGCGATTTCTCCGTTACATTAAATAAAGATTTGGTTCTGGATAAATATCCTTTACCTCGAATAGAGGAGGTATTTGCCAAACTCGGTGGAGGGCAGCAGTATAGCAAGTTAGATTTAAAAAATGCATATAATCAATTTTTATTAGACGATAGCTCACAAGAACTCACAACAATAAATACACCAAAAGGGTTGTATAAATATACGCGTTTAGTTTACGGTCTCGCAAACGCGCCAGCAATTTTCCAAAAATCCATGGAAATCCTGCTTTCTGGCATCGAGGGCGTCAGCTGTTGGTTAGACGACGTTTGTCTAACGGCCCCTAATAAAAAGATTCATTTAGAGCGTTTAAGAATAGTCTTAAGTCGTTTAAGTGAAGCGGGATTACGACTGCAGCGAGAAAAATGCGAATTTTTTAAAAATAGCGTTACTTATTTAGGTTACGTAATAAATAAGAATGGCTTGCAGACTTGTCCCGAGAAGGTACGAGCCATACTCGAGGCACCAGAACCGAAAAGCGTTAGCGAACTTAAACGTTTCTTAGGTGTAGTTAACTACTACAGAAATTTCATTCCGAACGCATCATCACTACTAAGCCCTTTACACGAGTTATTACGTGCGGGCGCGGAATGGCAGTGGGGAGAGAGGCAGCGCGGGGCGGTACAGCGAGTGCGGGCCGAATTGGCTTCGGAGCGAGTCTTAGCTCATTTCGAGCCGCACGCGCAGCTGGTGCTCGCCGCAGATGCCGGCCCCAATGGCCTCGGTGCCGTGTTATCACAGCGTAATGACTCTGGGTTAGAAAGACCGCTGGCTTACGCTTCGAGATCATTAACAGCCAATGAACGTAATTATAGCCAAATCCAAAAAGAAGCAACCGCTATAATTTTTGGTGTTAAACGGTTCCATCAATATATTTATGGCAAAGATTTTTGATACAACAAAAGAAGATATTTGTATTTAACGGTTCGTGTATCGAGCTGTAGGGGGGAGTCTGAGAGTCCGATGTATCATGTTGTACCGTATTACTCCCTTTGTACTTAATTAATTGATCGACATGCCTAATACAACTGCACGAAAAGTCAAATACAAAAATTTTAAACATCCTTGAACCTACAATTTCTTCTACTCGCCCTAATCGCCATGATTCTTTACGGGCGCTGTACCATCGCCCCCATACAATATCACCAGGCACAAACGTTCTATTAGGGTTTAACTGACATTCAGTATATTTTTGACCATGGCTGTTAGATTTATTAGGAGAAACTAAATCTAATCGCGATTTAAGGTTGCGACCTAACATCAATTTCGAGGGAGTCTCACCAGTGGAGCAATGTACGGCATTTCTATACTCGAATAAATATTCTAGTAACACTTCTGAAATAATACTTGGTGGCAAATTATCTTTGAGTATGCATTTTAACATTCTTTTACAAGTGCGCACTGAGTTTTCTGCCTGTCCGTTGCTGCACGGGTGATATACGGGTGAATTCAAATATTTGATTCCGTTGCTGGTACAAAATTCGATAAATTCTTTAGAATTAATTTTCACGTCATTGTCTGATACCAAAACATTAGGCAGACAGAAAACCGCGAAAATCTGTTTTAATTTAGTGACAAGGGATTGCGTATTAGTACCGTTATTCATGTGTATACACTCCACCCATTTACTATATGCATCCACCACGACCAAGTATACTCTTTGCGCAATGCTCATGTAATCGATGTGAATGCGATCCCAAGGACCGGACGCGCGCGGCCACGGGGCTGGAGGCGCCCGCGGCGGCGCCGGCCGCAGGGCGACGCATGTCTCACATCCACCTATCCACTGCTCAATGTCTGCGTCTATGCCTGGCCACCACATTCTTCTGCGTGCATTACTTTTCCCGCCGCGGGCGATGATTGCGTAGAGGAGTTAGTGGAGTGTGGTGGGGAGGGCGAGGGCGAGGAAGGCGCGGGAGAGGGCCCGTCGCCGCCGCCGGCTGGCAGGCCCTCTCCCGTGCCCCCCGACGCCCCCGGCGATGAGTCATTGCCGGCGGCCGAGCAACCTGCGCTCGTTCCTCCGTCAGTAGCGACCCGCTGAGATGCTATTTCTTTAGTTAGTCGGGTATAAAATCAAACCAGAGTTGTAACCAGGCCATACAATTATTTATTCAGTAAGGTACTGACAACCAAATAGACAATTAGTTTAAATTTACAAGTTCTATACATTTACAAAGTTGCCGTTAATGTTAAAAGACAATGAGTCCTTAAGAGAACTCAAGACTACCCTTGTATGACTAAATATGACTAATGTTAACAACTCAATAAATGATATTCTAATTACAGTTCTGTTTCATTAAGGTACTGACAAAAATAGACAATTAGTTTAAATTTGCAAATTCTATACATTTACAAAGTTGCAGTTAATGTTAAAAGACAATGAGTCCTTAAGAGAACTTAAGACTACCCTTGTATGACTAAATATGACGAATGTTAACAACTCAATAAAGGATATCCTAATTAGAGTTCTGTTGGAGTCTGTTCCGAGACGATAGCGAGTGGATCTGAGTTTGAAAATCTGATTAGTGCTTAATTAGTAATTTATAATATATAAACTGAGGCAGCAGCTTTTCACAAGTATTGTCCGTCTGAATTCCGGCCGTACAAACTGTCAGCCGCTGCTTCCGAGGGTTAGTAAATGTACCTGAGTTCAGATTGTAGAGTACTGAGTTCAGATTGTAGAGTACTGTAATAAGAAAGTTGTAGGATATCTAGTGGTGTATGCTCAGCTAATTCTCTCTGCAAATCTCAGGCCACACCAGTGAGTATAGCTAATAATATCCGGACTTGTGACCTCGCCCTTGCACCAACAAATTAGCTTCTGGGGTTGCTAGCCCGTAACGGTGGACCCTTTTCGGGCCAAATATAACAATTTATGATTATATTACTGGGATATCAATCCCTCCAGCATATCCTCCGAAAGACTTGCGCAGGCTCCCTTCGAAAATATTATAGTAAAGTTAT